GCTTCGCACGCTCGTGGTGCGGTGGTGGGAGTAGGCGCTGGCCCTCTTCCCCCTGGCTGCAGGCAGGAGCGGGTGTTTGGCCGGGGAGCGTGGTCAGCCGGCAGCCCCAGCCCAGCCAAACTGGCGCAGCGGGGCGCATTGCCCAGGGCCTGGCACCATTTCAGCTGGCTGGCCAGCTGTGGGGCTCAGCACAAACCGCAGACCCGAGGGGCTCGGGGTGCTCGGGGAACCACGGGCAGGTGCAAGACCCTGGGTGAGAGGTGGAAGCATTCCCTCAAACCAGCTGGTTACCGGGGCATCCCTCATCCCGCTAGCCTGGCCTGGTTGTAGCCATCCTCCCGCTGTCCCAGCTCATGCCCCAAATCCCACGTCTCCATTGCCATGGGGAGGTGCATCTCCACAGTGCTCGGAGGGGAGAGTGCAGCTCCAGGGAGCACGTATCACCTCTCATTCGGCCGGCTCAGGTACCCGCGGCGGTAATGACATAGAGCAGGATGCTCAAGGACTGCAGATCCTTGTTCAAAGGGCCACTGCTTGTTGGAGTTCCTTCTGCTCTATCTTCACCAATATTAGCACCTATGTCAGGGCCGGCTCGGGGACGCCTCGAGGTCCGTGTGGCAATGTGTAGCCATGGAGCCCCACAGCTGGCCAAGGCTGTGCAGAGACAGGGAATTAGGGATGGAAACTTCTCTGCCCCAGACGATTTGCTCAGGGTCTGTTGAAAACTTCCACTTGTTTGGTCCATATTGCTCTTCCCGCGCTTATTTTATATTCTAGGGACTGAAGTTCCCCTTCCCAAGGTACGAATAACACCCGGTGGGATCGTAAAGAGCTTAGCCTGTTGTGATAGCCTGCTTGTTAGTGCTGGTAAAGCCAGGCTTGAGAAGAGAGAATCCATCTCTTTTTTGTTTGTTTTAAAAGGCCAGTTTTCTGTAAAGACAGGAAAATACAATGACTCAAAACAACATCCCAATATTTGCCCATTTCCTAAAAGTCTGATGGAGGAAGCCTGGAATCAAACTTTCTGTGACAGCGCAGCTGACCTGAGTTTATCTATGAGTTTATTTACACGTACCTGTCAAATTTTGTAAGGGCAGAGGATATAATTTCTACTCCACCTAAAGGTCAGATCCCACACTGATTCTGGGAACTTAGGTCCAAGGAATTTTTCTGTTTGGGTTTCTCATTGCTGTTTTCTTGTATCCCGGCAGTATCATTGCACAGATGTGTGATACGGTCACCAAAAGCACAGTTAGAGGTGGGATGTCTCTCTGAATAAACAAGCCGGGATGTTGTTCCCTGGGTCTGTCGGTATTTTGAAAGAATAAATCTGTGGGTATCAGTCTTGTTACAGCGAGTCAAAGGCTGCCTGAAGAATGCCCTGACATGGAAAAGCAAACGCGGCATGGCTACGCGAAGAGCACCCGGTGGAGGGGACAGCCTCGGCATTAAAATGAGCTCATGGATCAGCTTTTGCATATGTCCCGTCAGGGCTGTTTGCTTATTTTTCTATAAATTGCAGGGCTATCCGCCAGCAGCTCTGTTTGCAGTTAAGCAGGTGAGAGCAGCCCCTGAAAAATCCCACTTTAGTGGAGGTGTCTTGAATTCAGCAGCATCAGGGGGGTTGTGTGGGGTTGAATGCGGGGTTTGTGATTATTAGCGATGAGGATCAGGGCTGCGAAGGCTAACTTTTCACACGTTAAAACAGGAACTTTCCCATGTGCGTATTTTGTGGAATATATTTATAGATGGGAGAAAGTTAAAAATGGGATAAAGTGTTTTGAGATTATAGACATGAACAACAGAAAATGCCCCAAACTAAAAAATAGGAAAAAAAAAAGGAAGGCAAAATAGGGAATGTTGTTAACTTTAATTTTTCTTACCCCAAAATTTTGTTTCACCTGCAAATGCTATAACTTAAGAGAAAAAGATGTTGAAAACTTGGAGAGCCATATTCCTCTTCACCAGACTGTTGTGTAAAATGATTACCGATGGGCATTGGACCTAATCAAAATTCTGGCTGGGGTGGGTGGATGGATGGGTGGGTGGATGGGTGGGTGGATGGATGGATGGATGATGGAGATTGCTTTGCTCAACAGGCAGTTGAAGCATCTTCTTTGAAAATGGCCTGTGGGCAAATTTAGTCACCATGAGCCTGTTTGATTGGTAGGGTTGGGTCAGGGTGAAATCCAGTGTATTTCTGTCTCACTCTTCTGGAGGCCTGATCCAACGTGACTGCAAGTTCATTGAAAAATTCCCAGTGAATTTTCAGCTCTGTTGGGCTACAACTCTGTCTCCGGAAGATGCCGTCACCCCAACCATGATCAAAGGTAATGGTTCAGCACTTCAGACCATCCTCCCTCCCACCCATCCTGGCCCACTAGGGTCTTGCAGAGAAGCGAAGGGGACAGAAAAAACCTCTCTGTACCAATTTCTGTGCTTCTCCCTGGCCAAAATCCTGGTGGCAGTCTTACAAAACCTTATCTGGTGCCAGCATGGGCAGACGTGGAATAAGGAGCCCTGTAAACAAGGCTTTTGGACATGAGCGAATGTGAGCAGCCAGATGCAAATAACAGGCAGGCTGCGTGCGGGCAGTTGTGCTTTGCATTAAAACCTCCACTGCGGGCTGTAACTCCACAAAACACCCTGGTGTGCCTAGTGGGAGGGGTTGCCCCCTCAACGTCCCCCAAGCCACAAGGACTGGGGGCTGTGGGTTTTGTTTGAAGGAGCCCTCATGGCTTGTGTTTCCCTCCCAGCACTGGT